GGGGAGCTCAGGGACCCCGGCCCAGCAGGGACCCCCGTGCCCGTCCCTTGCTCACCCCAGGGCTGGCACTCGATGAGTTTGAGCTGGGTGCAGGCGGCAGCCTCGTGGTTCTGGCCGATCTCCCTGCACATGCTGAAGCACAGCGCGATCATGTTGTGCTTCTCGCTGTCGCCGGGCCGGCAGCGCTTGGTGTAGTCCAGCAGCGCCGCCTTCAGCGTCCCGCCCTGGGCACAGAGGGCACCTGAGCACCGGGCCACCCCTGCCCCACAAACCAGCCCAAAAGGGACCCCTGCACCCCAAAAACCGACAGCAGCCCCGCGGCCGCGCCGAAACCCCGGCACCTGTGCCCTTCCTTACACACCAATGCCAGCGTGTGCCACTTCCTTGGGCTTGCTTCAAACAAAGCTGGGAATAGCTCTGACTTCTAAACCCCCCATGAAACTTTAACTGCAAATAAAAGCACAGCTGGACGTGAAGACTCTGGCAATGCCAAGTTTAAGTTTCAATGCTGCTCTCATTGCAGCCCTCACTTTTTTTCTAATTAGGAAAAAACGGTTCAACTAAAATAAGACTAAACCCCAGCATTAATTTATTTCTATGAAACCTGACTCTAGATTCTGGAAGTAAATTTTCCTCAGGAATTAAAATGCCCAGATAATTTCACCCAGTGTGAACTGGGTGTAAATCTCTGATGCAGCCACGGCTCCCTGCAGGTTTGTCCCTCACGTACCGGGTCCAGTTTCTTCCTCATGAGCACCTCGAAGTAATGTTTCTGGTGCAGCAGATCGAAGATGTAGGTCATCTCGTTGTACCTGCCAATGCCCGTCAGCAGGCGCACCTGGGGACACCCAGGGGACAGCAGGAGCTCCAGGGCAGTGCCACTGTGCCCTGCCAGGGCAGTGCCACCGTGCCCTGCCAGGGCAGCCCGGGCACTCCTGGCTGCACGTGTTCCTCTGGAGCCATGGGGCACTCCTAAACCAACCCAAACTGAAGGGGCATGGCTTTATCCCATCAAAATGGGCAGTGAAGCTTTTAGGACTGACACCCTCCCACTGGGCACGTCCCAGGCTCCAGGAGATCCCTCAAGGCAGCAATTAAAGATGCCCAGTGCCACCAAGCAGCACATTTCCCCAGCAGCTGAATCACCACTGGGCAGGCCTGGGGAGCCCTGGAACAGCCCCAGCACAGCCCTGGCACAGCCCTGGCAGCCCCAGCACAGCCCTGGCACAACCCTGGCCCAGCCCTGCCCAGGGACACTCACCACCAGCCCGTACTCCTCCCTGGGAGCCAGGTGCTCCTCGGTGAGCAGCCGAGCTGCCTGCAGCACGCGTGTGATCCCCTCCATGTGGCACGTCAGGCTGAAGCAGCTGTGGGCCAGGATCAGCAGCTCTGTAACTGCGGGCAGAAGCATCCTGGTACTTCAGTCAAAGGGCTGAGGAAGGCAATTACTGCCTCTCTCCAGGAAACACAAAACACACAGAACCCCCGGCTCCTCCCGCAGAGGCTGACAAACGTGTAACACGCCATCCCTGCACTGCCTGCCAGCCCTGCCTTGCAAAAGGAAGGGCACCAGTTTTGCATTTGGCTTGGAAACATTCCGTTTCTAACTGTGAAGAGTAAGAACAAAGTGCCCCTTCTGGAACAAACCACCTTGACAGCTCATGGCACTCCCTGGCTGCATTTCCCACCTCTTGTTTAGCATGAAAATCTGAATTTTGTTTGGAAAATAAACCCTTAAGCAACACCCTGTGCACATCCTCAGCCCAGCTAACTGAATATCAAACTCGAGATCAGCAGCAGCACCTCCCCTCTGAGCTGTGAGTTCCAGCCAACACCGCATTAGTTACACACAGGTTACACCAGACAGGATTTGCATTTACTCACTGCATGACAGCTCCCCACGGGGGACAGAGGAGATTTTATCCAGTAACTGCATCCCAACCAAGGTGTGATCCTGGCACAGCTTGGCAAGCTCCAGGAGCTCCTGGCTCTCCACTGCAGGGTTCCAAACCTGCTTCTGCCCTGGGGTCAGAGAGAGAATCCTGTCACTACTGTGCAGGAGAGATCTCCTATTTATCCTTAATTAACAAACCCCAAACAAACCAACCTGATATCAACCAGACTGACTGAGGACTTGGGACTACAATCCTAAAGACACTTTGGGTGTTATTGCTTAAATTTAACAATCAGAAACTACTTTTTTGCAGTTCAACCCAACAAAATCCTAGTGGACAACCACAGAGCTGCCCCTTACTCCCCCAAAGGAAAAAAGAAAGGGAAGAACCTTTGTCAAGGGGAATGAACATGATATTCCCAAGCCAGATGATGTAGGGCAGCACAGACCAAGGTTAAAACCCCCTTTTTAAAAAAATATTAAATTGATGTCCATAAAAATACAACCTTAACTACTGGGACACCACACGGGACACAGGAGTAACTAGAAATGCACGTCTGTATAGAACGTTAACAAAGGAGACAATTCTCACACAGCAGAGCTGTGCTGAGCCCTCAGGGACTGAGTGCAGGGGCTGCTCTGGGACACACATTTTCCCCCAGAGACCAAGGCTGGCCTGTCCCTGCTCCTTGTGCACAGCCCAAGGCCCAGCACAGCCCAGGTGTGTCCCCAGCACAGCCCAGGTGTGTCCCCAGCACAGCCCCAGGTGTGTCCCCTGTGCCCCAGCACAGCCCAGGTGTGTTCCCTGTGCACAGCCCAGGTGTGTTCCCCGTGCCCCAGCACAGCCCCGGTGTGTCCCCTGTGCACAGCCCAGGTGTGTCCCCTGTGCACAGCCCAGGTGTGCTCCCTGTGCCCCAGCACAGCCCAGGTGTGTTCCCTGTGCCCCAGCACAGCCCAGGTGTGTCCCCTGTGCCCCAGCACAGCCCAGGTGTGTCCCCAGCACAGCCCAGGTGTGTCCCCTGTGCCCCAGCACAGCCCAGGTGTGTTCCCTGTGCCCCAGCACAGCCCAGGTGTGTCCCCTGTGCCCCAGCACAGCCCAGGTGTGCTCCCTGTGCCCCCAGCACAGCCCAGGTGTGTCCCCTGCTCCCACACCCAGCCCCAGCCACCCACCAGCCGTGCCCACCTTTGCCCTGGGCCGATGCCAGCAGCTCCTGGGTGACCTGCAGTGCCAGCAGCGGGGCCACGGTGGCCGGGGGCAGCCCCTGGCAGGCGATGAAGGCCTGGGCCCTGCGGCCGCGCCCCGGCCCCCGCCGCGCCAGGATGGCGGCCAGCACCTCCCGCGGCTCCCGCGCCGCCAGCTCCGCGAAGGAGCAGCCCAGGTCCTGGGAGCACCAAAATCAGTCAGACTCCCTGACCTCCCCACGAAACCCATCAGAGATTCCCTGACCTCCCCACCAAACCTGTCAGAGACTCCCTGACCTCCCCACCAAACCCGTCAGAGACTCCCTGACCTCCCCACCAAACCTGCCAGAGCATCCCTGACCTCCCATAGGAGCAGCCCAGGTCCTGGGAGCACCAAAATCAGTCAGACTCCCTGACCTCCCCACCAAAATCAGTCAGAGACTCCCTGACCTCCCCACCAAACCTGTCAGAGACTCCCTGACCTCCTCACCAAACCTGTCAGAGACTCCCTGACCTCCTCACCAAACCTGCCAGAGCATCCCTGACCTCCCATAGGAGCAGCCCAGGTCCTGGGGAGCACCAAAATCAGTCAGAGACTCCCTGACCTCCCCACCAAACCTGTCAGAGACTCCCTGACCTCCCCACCAAACCTGTCAGAGACTCCCTGACCTCCCATAGGAGCAGCCCAGGTCCTGGGGAGCACCAAAATCAGTCAGACTCCCTGACCTCCCCACCAAACCTGTCAGAATGTCTGTGACCTCCCACAGGAGCAGCACAGGTCCTGGGAGCACCAAAATCAGTCAGAGACTCCCTGACCTCCCCACCAAACCTGTCAGAGCATCCCTGACCTCTCCACAGGAGCAGCCCAGGTCCTGGGAGCACCAAAATCCTGTCAGAGACTCCCTGACCTCCCCACCAAACCTGTCAGAGCATCCCTGACCCATGACACCTCCCATTAAGCCTTAAGCTTTCCCATTTTCCAGACTCTGCACTGCATTAGTTGATAACTCTGAACTCCTAAGCAAGCTCCCTCGCAGCTCACTCACACAGAACAATCCCTTTCCAGCCCAGAACCAGACACTGCTGCAGCTTCAGCCCAAAAAGTGCAAGCATGGAAGTGAGGAGAGCAGCCCGGAGGGTGGGACAGCACCTGGAGCCGAACTCCAGCTGTGCCCAAGCTCACCTCAGCACTCATGCCCAGGAAGCTTCTGGCCTTTTCCCACACAAAGGGCTGGAATTCCACCCTCTGCAGCTCCTTGAGGGCACCTGCCAAGCTCTTCCTCCCCTCACCTGCCCTCCCCAGCGCCAGCAGGGCTGGACAAGGGCCTGGGCTCACCTTGGAGAGCTCGTAGAGGCACAGGACCTGCCTGCAGTAGCCCCTGCCGTGGACACATTCCTCTGCCAGGGCCTTCAGCGCCGCCACTACGGCATCGTCCCCACATCCCAGAGGGGTCCAGTCCTCCAGGCTGGATGCTGGGAACAAAAGAACATCAATTCCTACCTCATAAAGGCAGACAACTCCCTTACACCCGGGGGGCAGGGCTCCCAAAACCTGCAGCAATTCCACAACACTTCCTCAGCCTTTGAAAACTGAGCTCTTGGCACCTGTGATTTTTAAATATTACATTTGTTTCAGGGTGCAAACAATGTAACAGAGCACAAATATCCCCGATAACACCTCAGATATAAAATTTCTAAGACTAAGAAGGGTTCTGCAGCCTTCCTGATGGGTTAGGATTCATTTATGCTCTTCTGTGTCTATTCAGCTTTACACATCACTATTAGAAAGGGATGCTCCAGCTGAAACTTGCTCAGACTCCACAGATATGAAGAGAACTTTACATAAACATTCCCAGCCTTAGCCTTGCTACTAAGCAAGAAACTCCAAACCCTTCATAATGCACAAAGGAGTCAGGAAAATGTATTAAGGCATTCCCTTGCTTCAGCTACAGAAAAAAAAATTAGCGGAGTATTTTCTAAAAGCAGCAAGAGGGGTAAAGCCCAGTGCTGCTTCACTGAGCCAGAACGGAGAGCTGTGACAGATGAAAGGTTCAGGATCTATGGAAACTGTACACAGAGCCAGAGCACCGTGCACAGCAAGGCCACAGATTCCTTCCAGGAGAGCATTGCTGCAGCAGGGAGGGAAGGCAGGAGCTGCTGCAGCAGGGAGAGCATTTGTGCAGCAGGGAGAGCAGGCAGGAGCTGCTGCAGCAGGGAGAGCAGGCAGGAGCTGCTGCAGCAGGGAGAGAAGGCAAGCAGGCAGGAGCTGCTGCAGGGGGGCAGAGGCAGGGCAGGGCTGGGGTCACTCACTGCCCGGGGCTGTGCCGGCCGTGTCCGTCAGCGGGGCCGGCACCTCGGGCTCGGGCCGGGCCTCGCCCAGCGCCAGGGCTCGGCAGCGCAGTGCCAGCGCCACGTCCCGGTGCCACAGCTGGAAGTAGCGGCACACGCGGGCGGCCTCCTGCACGCTGCCCTGGTCCAGCAGGGCGCCCAGCAGCGCGGCCAGCGCCGCCCGCTCCGCGGGGCCCAGCTGGGGCTGCTCCTCGGTGCCCGGTGCTGCTGTGCCCAGTGCTGCCCGTTCCACCGTGCCCAGCTGGGGCTGCTCCTCAGTGCCCAGCTGGGGCTGCTCCTCGGTGCCTGGTGCTGCTGTGCCCAGCTGGGGCTGCTCCTCGGTGCCCAGCTGGGGCTGCTCCTCGGTGCCCAGCTCCTCGGTGCCCGGCGCCACCCGGGGCTCCCCGCGGGCCGGGGCGCTCAGCCCGTGGCACCCGGCCGCGGTCAGGGCCGGCAGCCCGGCGAAGGAGAAGCGCCGTGCCAGGCTGGCGAGGGTCGCGGTGCCGGGGCACGGCCCCGCGGCCTCGGCCGGCAGCGCGCGCTCGGCCACGCGGCACAGCCAGATCTGCTTCTCCAGCTCCTCCAGCTCCTGCACGGGCAGCCCGGGCTCCTTGGCCAGCCAGTGCCCCGCCAGGGTCAGCAGCAGCTCCCTCTCCACCAGGGCAGCTCTCTCCTCCTGCCCCCAGGACTCCCTCGCGCCGTTGGCCTGGCGGAGGAAGAACTCCGCGGCGGCGCGGCTGCGGATGCCATGTTTAGTGAAGGTGTCGTTGCACTTCTTCCAGAACTCGGCTCTTGTCTGGGTTTGATGCCACTGTCCAGTGTCTCTTAAATGATGGAGATCCCTCAGAACCTGTAAAATCCACAGTTTATCACAGTTCCTTTCCAAGGAAGGAAACTCCAACTCACATGTGATGGTCAGCACTGAAATACTGGATTTAGGGAAGTGCCCCAATATGAAACAAGTCACAGAACTGGTTTAGGTTGGAAGGGACCTTAAAGATCATCTCATTCCACCCCCTGATGGAAAAACCCATCTATTTTTCTCCTCAAATAAAACTGACTGAATACAAATAAAAACAGAAAGAGAATGAGGACAGCTGTACCCTGCAGCTCAGCACTTAGAGCCAGTGTGTTTGGTGTACTTGCATTTAAAATAAAACATTTCTTAACAAAAAAACAATGCTTCAGGAAGGTTGGGAAGCTGCATCCTCACTCCTGGCAGCAGCAGGAAGAGGTGAGTGTCACTGTACCTCGTGTGTGACCACGCCGTCCACGGGCAGCTCAGCCAGGGCCGCCACCTCCCGAGCCAGGCTGAACATCCCTCTCTCCTGCAGCTGCTCCAGAATGGAGCTGCACTCCCCCTGGAACGCCTCCAGGCTGCAGGAGCTCAGGATGGAGCGGCTGATGGAGATGGAGGAGTCCCTCAGGGCCTCGCTGAGGGCACAGAGCCTCTTCAGGTGGGGGCCTGGGTCAGAGAGAGAGAAGAGCTCAGAGAGCCGGGGCCAAGCCCAGCGAAGGCTGAGCTCCCCCCGGAGCCAGCCCTGCCACGGGGGGACTCAGGCTGTGCTCACCGTCCAGCAGCGGGGTCTCTGCTGCAGCAAAGAGCTGCAGGAGCTTGCCCAGCTCGTAGTCGGTGTGGCACTGCTGCAGCATCAGCTCCAGGAGGAACAGCGCCTGCGAGCGCAGCCAGGGCAGCGGCAGCGCGGGGGCNCAAAAAGTGCAAGCATGGAAGTGAGGAGAGCAGCCCGGAGGGTGGGACAGCACCTGGAGCCGAACTCCAGCTGTGCCCAAGCTCACCTCAGCACTCATGCCCAGGAAGCTTCTGGCCTTTTCCCACACAAAGGGCTGGAATTCCACCCTCTGCAGCTCCTTGAGGGCACCTGCCAAGCTCTTCCTCCCCTCACCTGCCCTCCCCAGCGCCAGCAGGGCTGGACAAGGGCCTGGGCTCACCTTGGAGAGCTCGTAGAGGCACAGGACCTGCCTGCAGTAGCCCCTGCCGTGGACACATTCCTCTGCCAGGGCCTTCAGCGCCGCCACTACGGCATCGTCCCCACATCCCAGAGGGGTCCAGTCCTCCAGGCTGGATGCTGGGAACAAAAGAACATCAATTCCTACCTCATAAAGGCAGACAACTCCCTTACACCCGGGGGGCAGGGCTCCCAAAACCTGCAGCAATTCCACAACACTTCCTCAGCCTTTGAAAACTGAGCTCTTGGCACCTGTGATTTTTAAATATTACATTTGTTTCAGGGTGCAAACAATGTAACAGAGCACAAATATCCCCGATAACACCTCAGATATAAAATTTCTAAGACTAAGAAGGGTTCTGCAGCCTTCCTGATGGGTTAGGATTCATTTATGCTCTTCTGTGTCTATTCAGCTTTACACATCACTATTAGAAAGGGATGCTCCAGCTGAAACTTGCTCAGACTCCACAGATATGAAGAGAACTTTACATAAACATTCCCAGCCTTAGCCTTGCTACTAAGCAAGAAACTCCAAACCCTTCATAATGCACAAAGGAGTCAGGAAAATGTATTAAGGCATTCCCTTGCTTCAGCTACAGAAAAAAAAATTAGCGGAGTATTTTCTAAAAGCAGCAAGAGGGGTAAAGCCCAGTGCTGCTTCACTGAGCCAGAACGGAGAGCTGTGACAGATGAAAGGTTCAGGATCTATGGAAACTGTACACAGAGCCAGAGCACCGTGCACAGCAAGGCCACAGATTCCTTCCAGGAGAGCATTGCTGCAGCAGGGAGGGAAGGCAGGAGCTGCTGCAGCAGGGAGAGCATTTGTGCAGCAGGGAGAGCAGGCAGGAGCTGCTGCAGCAGGGAGAGCAGGCAGGAGCTGCTGCAGCAGGGAGAGAAGGCAAGCAGGCAGGAGCTGCTGCAGGGGGGCAGAGGCAGGGCAGGGCTGGGGTCACTCACTGCCCGGGGCTGTGCCGGCCGTGTCCGTCAGCGGGGCCGGCACCTCGGGCTCGGGCCGGGCCTCGCCCAGCGCCAGGGCTCGGCAGCGCAGTGCCAGCGCCACGTCCCGGTGCCACAGCTGGAAGTAGCGGCACACGCGGGCGGCCTCCTGCACGCTGCCCTGGTCCAGCAGGGCGCCCAGCAGCGCGGCCAGCGCCGCCCGCTCCGCGGGGCCCAGCTGGGGCTGCTCCTCGGTGCCCGGTGCTGCTGTGCCCAGTGCTGCCCGTTCCACCGTGCCCAGCTGGGGCTGCTCCTCAGTGCCCAGCTGGGGCTGCTCCTCGGTGCCTGGTGCTGCTGTGCCCAGCTGGGGCTGCTCCTCGGTGCCCAGCTGGGGCTGCTCCTCGGTGCCCAGCTCCTCGGTGCCCGGCGCCACCCGGGGCTCCCCGCGGGCCGGGGCGCTCAGCCCGTGGCACCCGGCCGCGGTCAGGGCCGGCAGCCCGGCGAAGGAGAAGCGCCGTGCCAGGCTGGCGAGGGTCGCGGTGCCGGGGCACGGCCCCGCGGCCTCGGCCGGCAGCGCGCGCTCGGCCACGCGGCACAGCCAGATCTGCTTCTCCAGCTCCTCCAGCTCCTGCACGGGCAGCCCGGGCTCCTTGGCCAGCCAGTGCCCCGCCAGGGTCAGCAGCAGCTCCCTCTCCACCAGGGCAGCTCTCTCCTCCTGCCCCCAGGACTCCCTCGCGCCGTTGGCCTGGCGGAGGAAGAACTCCGCGGCGGCGCGGCTGCGGATGCCATGTTTAGTGAAGGTGTCGTTGCACTTCTTCCAGAACTCGGCTCTTGTCTGGGTTTGATGCCACTGTCCAGTGTCTCTTAAATGATGGAGATCCCTCAGAACCTGTAAAATCCACAGTTTATCACAGTTCCTTTCCAAGGAAGGAAACTCCAACTCACACGTGATGGTCAGCACTGAAATACTGGATTTAGGGAAGTGCCCCAATATGAAACAAGTCACAGAACTGGTTTAGGTTGGAAGGGACCTTAAAGATCATCTCATTCCACCCCCTGATGGAAAAACCCATCTATTTTTCTCCTCAAATAAAACTGACTGAATACAAATAAAAACAGAAAGAGAATGAGGACAGCTGTACCCTGCAGCTCAGCACTTAGAGCCAGTGTGTTTGGTGTACTTGCATTTAAAATAAAACATTTCTTAACAAAAAAACAATGCTTCAGGAAGGCTGGGAAGCTGCATCCTCACTCCTGGCAGCAGCAGGAAGAGGTGAGTGTCACTGTACCTCGTGTGTGACCACGCCGTCCACGGGCAGCTCAGCCAGGGCCGCCACCTCCCGAGCCAGGCTGAACATCCCTCTCTCCTGCAGCTGCTCCAGAATGGAGCTGCACTCCCCCTGGAACGCCTCCAGGCTGCAGGAGCTCAGGATGGAGCGGCTGATGGAGATGGAGGAGTCCCTCAGGGCCTCGCTGAGGGCACAGAGCCTCTTCAGGTGGGGGCCTGGGTCAGAGAGAGAGAAGAGCTCAGAGAGCCGGGGCCAAGCCCAGCGAAGGCTGAGCTCCCCCCGGAGCCAGCCCTGCCACGGGGGGACTCAGGCTGTGCTCACCGTCCAGCAGCGGGGTCTCTGCTGCAGCAAAGAGCTGCAGGAGCTTGCCCAGCTCGTAGTCGGTGTGGCACTGCTGCAGCATCAGCTCCAGGAGGAACAGCGCCTGCGAGCGCAGCCAGGGCAGCGGCAGCGCGGGGGCCGCTCCCCCTGCGGCCCCGGGCTGCGGGAAACGAGGGGTTAATTTGGGATGGTGTGCCCCCCTGGTCAGTCCTGGGACATTCCAAGCAGGTGGCATTCCACAGGTGAGAGCCTGAGCAGGCCCAGCAAGGGCCAGGGGAGGTCATGGTTACACCAACAGCCCTGCCACTGCTGGGGAAGGGCCCTGAGCTGCCTGAACACCCAGGAAGGAAAAGCATTAGTGAATGTCACCATGTGCAGGGAGCCAGACACCGGCACGGAAAGGAAAGAACTGTTAAAGCATCTGCACTGAGAGACAGAGAGCTTTCACACACTGCTCCTCTTGGCCCAGCCGCCCAATCCCAGCAGTGACACTTAGAGAAAATTGATTTCCTTACGTTTGTGAGGCTTTCCTGAAATTTGTCCAGTTTGGTTTTAGCTTCGTTGTACTTTTTACAGTTCATGCACAGCTCGTACATCTCCAGGATGTGCAGCAAAGGGGAGTCCTTTAAGACACAAAAATAGATGCCAATAAATTCCCAAATGTACCTCAATAAATAAATCCTACTTTTAAAAATCATCTATTATTTAATTCAATAAATGTAGAATTTGTCTCCCTCAGCAGCAGAACAATGAAGCTTTAATTTATTAAAATTGCATGCAAGGTTGATGTAGGATGTAAAGATCTGTGATAATTGGAAGAACTTCCAATTTGACTGGGAATTTCAGTGGATAGCCAGGCTATCCTTGGCACACAGCAAGATGGAGGGGGCTTACAGGCCCAGAAGGGTGAAACACATCAAACATACCCCTGAAACCACATTCCCTCACCTTTAAAAAGAGCCGGAAGCCATTCAGAAGCGTTTTACTCTTCTGCTTCCTCAAGAAGACTTTCCAGATGGCAGCGAGGTCCTGCAGGTCCCACCGGGCCCCCTCTGCCCAGCCCTGGGTGTGGGCGGTGGCCTCAGCCCTGGTGGCATCATCCACGGAGGTGAGGATCCAAACGCAGAGGCAGGAGATGAGGTTGGCACCCTGCAAAGGCCAGCAGGACGGGTTCCAGCCGACCTCCCCGGAGAAGGGGCACGCTGGGCACAGCCAGCGGGGCAGGGCAGCAGGGCAGCAGAGCGGGTGCGACACGGGGCAGGAGCTGCACTCACGGGGCAGCAGGCTGCCAGCACGCTGAGGATGGGCGCCTGGGCCCGCAGCCCCTCGGCCAGCAGGCAGCAGCAGGGGCTGGGCTGCTCCTGGCACCGCAGCAGCACCCGGAACACGCTCCCGGCTCGGGCACTGCCCGCGGCTCCTCGGGCACTGCCCGCGGCTCCTCGGGCACCGCCCGCGGCTCCGGGCCCCAGCAGCTTCCCCAGGGCCAGCTCCAGGTGGTCCCGCAGCACGGCGGGGAACTCCTGCAGCAGGGGCAGCACCTGGGGGGACACAGCAGCACAGCCTTGTCGGGGCTCCAGGATGGACACACCCAACAGCCACGCAGAACACTCCAAATCCCGCGTTAGAAAAACATCAGAGACCCGGAGAGGAAAAGGGTGCTGCAGGTGTGAATCACTCTAGTGAAAGCTCAGCCTTTTCCTCAAAGCTCAAATGTCTCCTAGGGAGCCTCAGTTCTGTCCTCTCCTGCAGAGCATCCCTGACCTCCCCAAAGGAGCTCCCCAAAGGAGCAGAGCATAAACAGGGTCTACTTGGGTGTTTTTGTGGAGTTATGGATTCTTCAACACAACAAGGAGATCCGAAATAAAATCCTAGGCCTGCTGAATCTCCCACTTAGCTTTCCTCATATGACTTCTCCCAATTGCTTTTACTGGAGTATTTTATTCATTTTTAAATCACGTTCAAAACCAAAAGGCGGAAAATTTGGATTCTCGAAAGTTTAAGTATCTTTGCCAAAAAAATCAATTTGAGTTTTGAAAGCAAAGATGAGTGGCTTTATTATAACTTACACTGAACATCTGGCAACTCTCCAATTAAAAAAAAAAAAAAAGCAGTGACTACTTGAGTTTAAATTAAATTTACAAGTGTAACTGCAAGGGAAGGGCTACCACAGTCCCAGGGTATGGACATCCCGAGAGAACCAAAGCCCAGGAACTGGTGAGGCTCCTGCTGTCTGCACACTGGGACACTGTCTTGCTCCAAGACCAGTTTAATGCACAGGCTGCTCACCTGGGCTGGCTGGTGGCCGTGGAGCTGGCTCTGGATGAGGAACTGCAGCCACTCGTTGGATTTGGCACATTCCCTCAGGAAGGACGTGCTCAGCTCCAGGTTATGGAGTTTGCAGAACTGCATGACCAAGGACCACTGCCTTCTGGAGTCACTGGATGTCCTGCAAGGAATTCAGAGAGCTGCAGAGGCCAAGAGCTGCAATACTGGGAGCAGATGCTCAGGTCTGAGGTGAGCCTGACTGTGACAGGCACATTCTTCTTTGTCTCTTAGATTTTTTTCATAGAGGAGTAGGGAGAGAAGAAAGAGAAAACAATTTCTATTTCTGCTCCTTGTTTTTCCCATGTGGAATGTGTTTGGAGACTTTTTTACCCAGGGTTATTGCTTGGTTGGATTCTGGTGAGGTTTGTTTGAGCCTGATGGCCAATCCAACCCACCTGGGGCTGGGCTCTTAGAGAGGGGCACGAGTTGTGAGTTAGAAAAAGTAGGTGTGTAGTTTTAGTATCTCCTTTAAATGGTATGTTAATGTATATTAGTATAGTTATAATAAAGAAATCATTCAGCCTTCTGAACTGCAGACATTAGCATTTCTGCCCAGCGGGGCCCCCTGCATTTCCAATAGCTGTGACTGCCTGCAGGCAGCAACAGGGCATGCCAGGGGCCACTGCAGCCAGGTCACTGTCCTGCCCTGCCCCTCTGCTGTTATCTGACACACAGGTAAGAGCGGGCATCTCAGCCCCCATCTCCCAGGGAACCCCTCAGCGCAGGCTGCTCTCACCTCTTTATTCCTTGCTGCTCAATGGCATCCCAGAAGGCCTCCTCCAAGGAGGTCAGAAGTGCTGCTGCTGCTGCTTTTTCACCATCAGCCAACTTTGTTAACTTCTCAACTGTTTAAAAGAACACATTCCTGAGGTGCTGTCTGGGATCAGAGCCAGGGCAGCATTTTCAGGAGCACCAGTATCCTCCTGGCTGGGAAAGCTGACACCTGTGGCCCTGGAGTTAGACATTCAACTATCTGAAGTTATTTCTAGGATAAATTTAATTTCCCTACAGCTCTGAACACCTGATCTCCCTGCAGGTGTATGATAAGAAGGAGAAAGGAAATTTGGCAATGGACTTTGTTTAACTCTCTGTAATGTTACTACCACTGAACCTCACCAATATCAGTCCCAGGCTGGACAGTGTCTGTTAGACCCTGATAGAGGCTCTATCAGTCTGCCTGACTTATTTGACACTGGGGGATTAAAATGCACCTTTCAAAATTAGTTAAAAAAAAACAGGAACAAGAGAACAACCAAGTTTTACTGCGCTGCTGAGCCCCCAGGCAGCAGCTGTGCATGCCTGCCTGCCCCCAGAGCAGGCAGCGTGGGGCAGAGGAGGGGAGCCTTACCCAGGGAGTCCCTGGAGGGGCCGTGGCGGGCGATGAGGCTGGCGGCGCGCAGCCCCACGCGCAGCCCCAGGCTGTCCTGCCCCAGCAGCTCCAGGAAGCACACGCAGGCTGCAGCCACCCCGGGCACGCCGAAGGAGCAGAGAGCCAGCAGCCGTGCCTCCCGTGCTGCCCGCTGGATCCTGCAACGAGCCAGCCGCACGGGGGCTGCACCTCTGCCAGCACCGGGCAGTGCTCAGCCCCCCC